GAATACTTTAAGTGAAAAGTTTTCATTTGTCACTTTTTAGAATGTTCCTTTATCTTTTGGGCTAAAGAAGTGTACAGAATTTTAAATAAAGCTATGTTTCCATTGTATGGCTTAAATCAACAAATATTGGGTGTGTTGCCCCTTTTCCTTCAGACAGGTGAAATTAATCAGTGAAAAAATATTGAACATTGCCCCATTTCTTCTCTTTCAACCATGCTCGTCACATGTTCCCTTTCCACTGCTGGTCAGGGAAATCAAGGCTATGCAGAGTGAAGAGGTGAGGTGCTAATGGGGATGGAGCTTGAAGCTAAGCGGGATTTTGCATCTCTGGAGAAAATTATAAGCCGGTACATTTGGGCAGTTATACCTCCATCCTCCACAGCTACTCCATATTTTTATAATACTTTGGTCCTTTTCTTCTCGTCACCTCTCAATGCTTAAATCTGAACTTGTAACATTAGAGTTAGTGGAAGCAGTAGCTACATAAAATGTTATAAATTAATAGGTAATATTTTGAACAAAATACTTAAGTACCCAATATATTCATAGACTTTTCTATTTGTGTTTTGAAACATCACCCTGCGGATTTAATCTATATATTTTATAGAGTGCATCTGTTTGTCCATTTGTTCAAAAACTCCTCCTAAACTCTTAAGATTTAGGACCACCAAATGTGGTGTGCAGCCTTCTCTTAACCTAACTTAAACCAAGGTCAGAGTTTGTGCCCAGAAAATGTGAAATGCCAGGAATGGGACTGTTTTCCCCAGGGCCTGCCTCCACATGGAGGACTGCAGGCCATGCACAGGGGGGCAGAGAGCTAGAGGAGTGGTGGAGCCCCCGGAGCCTCGCCCTCCCTGGCAGGCTGGGGGGCCACTAGAGTAGTGGCAGATCATGGTGGGGTCAGCCCTCTGAACCTGGCCTCTTCCCAGACAGCCTGCAGACCTTGGGAGGGCTGCTGGAGGAGGGTGTAACCGTAAGCCATCTTTCATGTCAAATTCCTCAATGAAACTTAAATTTTCAAGCTGTTCAGTCCTCCCTTATATGGCAACCCTGAAACAGGAGACAGTTTCTGAGATTTACTGCTTGAAGACCACTAAGTGTATGTTAAGTAGATTTGCCTCCCAAATCAGTTCCTTCCAAATTTGGGAGGGGGACAAGAGAAGATAGGGGGATTGCCTCTCTGAACTACTGCTTCCTACTATTTCCCCAATGATCCTAGCTGTTAAGGCCATATACTGTATAGAAGGGATGTCCTGGCTCAGTTAGTCCATTCTGTTGCTGACAATACTGACATATCTCATTAATAAATTTATCAAACTCCAATTTAAACTGTTCAGATAGTTTGCTTCTAGTACTTGTACAGGCAGTCCCCAAGTTACGTGGATCCGACTTATGTCGGATCCGCAGTTACGAACGGGGCCCTACCTCTCCCTGGTCTCCAGCAGACCAGGGAGAGGAAGCAAAGCAGCGGAACACGCGGGCAGCGAACAGCCCAGACGCGTCTGGGCTGTCAGCTGGCCGCGTGTTGCGCTGCTCTGCTCTGCTTTGCTCCCCGTCCCCCTAGTCTGCTGACCAGGGGGACGGGGAGCAAAGCAGAGCAGAGCAGCGCAACACGCGGCCAGCTGACAGCCCAGACGCGTCTGGGCTGTTCGCTGCCTGCGTGTTCCGCCGCTTTGCTTCCTCTCCCTGGTCTGCTGGAGACCAGGGAGAGG